TCTCACCAGCAGAGTGACCATTTTCTGACACCTTCTGTACCTGATGTTCCCAGGGGTTTTTGGAGTCTAGCAAGTTACATTTTTTGCATAATGACCAGTGCATCAATTTTGCCGTTCTGTCATGTCTAATTTTGTAATTTGTTTGTGCAATCTTTGGATATCCACGGATGAAATGTGACACAGTTTCATCTTTTACTTGGCAGTCAACATCATCAATACTAACGTCATGATCGTTGGTATCAAATTGTTTTGCCACTGCTACTGCTGGGAAAAATACCCCTCCTCTTCCTATGCTTATGGGGGGGGGGTGGAATCTCACGCCATTTCACCACATTTTGGATTTGGTTTCCCATTAAGGCACCCTTTTAAAAAATAAAACATAAGAAAATGGTGAGTATTTTTTTATAGACTAGCCATTGGCTGGGGAAACCTGCTTTTTTCTGGCTGTAGTTCCAAGAATCCAGTCCATCTCTTTGTAATTACTGAAAATATGTGCTCAAGGAAAATATTGTTATGGATGTCTTTTAAGGATTAACCTAGTAATTTGTTTCCATTTTCATAACCCATAGCGACTGCAGTTCAGTCATGATGAAAGGATGGTACTTTGAAGTCCAAGCCTAAACTTTGTAAGTCCAAGGTATTCTCAGAAGCTACGTTTTGCACCAAACACCCAGGAAGATTATCAAAAGCAGACAAAGGTGTGAGCAGCAGTATGAGTACCTGAGCTTTTTCTCACACATTCATGTAAAGCTCAGTGGGAGCATAACCCTTTCTGGGTGTTCATACGGGGTGAAATGGATGCATATAGAGAGGGATCACAAGGAAAGCAAATGTACATTAGAATATCTGTAGAGATATCTTCTGCCTATGCCTCTATGTGGGTGAAATGAGGGTGAAAGAGTAGAGAGCCAAAAATGGTCTGAAGCTCAAGATAAAAAAAAAACTAAGATCATGGCAACTGGTCCCATCACCTCCTGGCAAATAGAAGGGGAAGATATGGAGGCAGTGACAGATTTTACTCTCTTGGGCTCCATGATCACTGCAGATGGAGATAGCAGCCACGAAATTAACAGACGCCTGCTTCTGGGGAGGAAAGCCATGACAAACCTCGACAGCATCTTAAAAAGCAGAGACATCACCTTGCCGACAAAAGTCCGACTAGTCAAAGCTATGGTTTTTCCTGCAGTGATGTATGGAAATGAGAGCTGGACCATAAAGAAAATTGACCGGCGAAGAATTGATGCTTTTGAATTGTGGTGCTGGAGGAGCCTCTTGAGAGTCCCCTGGACTGCAAGGAGAACAAACCTATCCATTCTGAAGGAAATCAAGCCTGAGTGCTCACTGGAAGGACAGATCCTGAAGCTGAGGCTCCAATACTTTGGCCATCTCATGAAAAGAGAAGACTCCCTGGAAAAGACCCTGATGTCAGGAAAGTGTGAAGGCAAGAGGAGAAGGGGATGACAGAGGATGAAATGGCTGAACAGTGTCATGGAAGCTACCAACATGAATTTGACCCAACTCTGGGAGGCAGTGGAAGACAGGAGGGCCTGGATTTGTTACCCCTAGGTGCTGAGCTTATCTTACAGATGTGTTTTTGAATTGTGTTTTATTTATTTTTTTCAAAATTGATTTATTTCAGTTATGTAGGTTTTTTTATTTTTTTATTTTTCTTTCTGCTTTCTTTTATTTAACATTCCAGCAAGCTGCCTTGAGTCCCATCTTTGGGGGAAAAGGCAGAATATATATCCAATTATTACTATTCTTTATGCTATACCACCCTGTTCATAAGGGAGAACCGCAATTAAGGAATGTTTTTAATAAATGAATGAGTGAATGAATGGATGGACATGTTAATAATTTATGGATTTAATTACTTTTACCAGAACAACTGAAGAAGGCAGAAGCTGAAAAGTTTTACTTAAATTCTTCTGTTTGTTAGTCACGCTGGGAGAAAGAAGCATGACTAACGAACAGAAGAATGTAAGTACAACATTTCAGCTTCAGCTTTTTTCAGTTGTTCTGGTAAAAGTAATTAAATTCATACACAGAGGATTGGTCTGCCGTATTCAGATGAGTTATACCATTATCTACCATATACTAGAGAATAAAATTATAAATTGGGTTTTATTAATGTGTGCCTTCATTCACTCATTTATTCAAAACATTTCTCAATTGTTATTCACCCTCTTGGATATTAGAGTGGTTTAGCGTAAAAAAAAGAATGGAAGAAATCACATCAAACGTGGTACAGCAATTAAGAAATAACTTTCATATTAAATAAATCTTTAGGAAGCAGCTTAATAAATAAACCAGATTCTACAATAGAAACAGTTTAAAATATCCAGACAATGAAATGTTTTGCCCTAATATTTTGCCCTAGTGCCAAGAACTTGTTAACATTTTTAACTTTACCACTTGCTTTATTACTATAAAGAGTGGTGAAAATCCAACTGCTTAGAATTCTGAGTCACACTAGAGTAGTCCCATTGAATTAGTGAGAATTTGGTAAGTCACCTTCTTCATAAGTTCAGTTGAGTCAAATGGGCCTACTTTAGTTGTGACTTACTATGCTAAAGTAAGTCAAAACTAGAACAGGTCAATTTGACTCAATGGTACAGGAGTTGAGTTGCCAAATCCCAGAGATTTAATGGGCCTACTCTAATGCAACTTACTACACTAAGCAAGAGGGTTTCATCCAGTACTTCAAAACCAAAATGGCACCACAAGAAGGCCCTTTAATGTATTATCTGTTTGGCCATGAGGAACATTGGAATACCTATCTGGATTTTTGTGTGTGTTAGCATTCTTTTTTACAGGTAACCAAGGTTAGAAATACCTTTTCTGGGGACGGTCATTCAACTTTTGACCAAGGGAGCCTCTTTTAAAAGTGCATCATGGAACATTCTAACATATTTTTTAAAAACCTTCAGTAATACTGCAGGAGACCTGGAAAAACAGATCGACTTATGTTCTTTCATGCGAGGTAGGTCTGCCTTATGTAGAATGTTGTTGTTCTGTTTTGAAATGTCAGCTGTCATCAATATTTCAAGAAAAGAAGTTGGAGTGGTTTTATGTAAGTCAACACAGAGCAAAGCAATTCTGGCAGCATTTACCTTTTTAAAGACAGAAACCATGTAAAACCAAGTAACCGGGGTTGGGAGACTGCCCCTATCATGAACCCCTCAGGAACCTTTATGAGTAGGTGAGCGTGATCAGAAAGGTGTTGCATGAAATGGACTTTGGACCAAGCCTGACAGAAGTTTTTAGCTGCTAGAGTTTGCTCTGCATACAAAGGTGGATTAATATGCAGCTGCTATTAAAGACTACAGTTAGAGAAAAGCAACTCATGGCACGTTGCTAAGAGTAGAGTGTGGAAGTAACAAGGGCTATGAGAATATCATCTGCTCCTATTTGGTCTGAATTATCAGTCTTACAAATGGCAACTAATTCACTCAACCAGTTTATAACCCACTCAGTTTTATTTGTATCCAAATATTTTAAAATATTTGTATGCATCTGTATTTGTCCAAATTATGAAAAATCATGACAATTGGGGGAATAAAGGACTCTGACCTGGGACAGCAGGTGAAGTTGAGTGCCATCAACTACAGTTTTACCTCCAGGGTGAAGGCAAATCTCCCACTAGTCTCCTTCTTTCCTTCTCCTCAACCACTGGGAGGCATGCAATTTAATTCTTTCTTAGCTCCTTCAGATTTATCTTGCATTAGCTGGTAACTGCTGCCCAGCTGTCAGTTACCCAGGGCCCTTCTGAAATGAAAGCTGCTACTCTGGAGTTTTAACCTTCATAATACTGAAGCAAAATTCTCCCTCACTTCAGAGAGTCCCAATTTGATTTGGGTGCTGCTTCAGGCTTTCTTGTTTCACTTTGGATCAGTGCGAAAACAGACAAATATCCTTGCTTCACTTCATTTTCCAAATAACTTCTCAACCCAAAGCACATCCCCCCGAAGCAATGCACCACAAACAGTGGTGTTACTTGTGTAATGCATTGCCTTTTGGAGTAACAGGAGGGTGACGCTGTAATTTTTAAGACAATTATAACACAACAAATAATAGTAATGCTGCTTTTTAATGTAACAAGTACCCATTACATGTTGTCACCAACTTTTGCCAGGTGGGCACTGTTGCCCAAGTTTGTATTAAAATTTTAAAACACACACACACCTATTTATAAGGTGTGTGTATGTTTTAAAATAACATGTTAGTGATGCCTTAATAGCAAATTACTTTTTAAATGATGTAGAACAAGTAACACTGATAGCTTATTTTGAAAAATAAGGGGGAAAAAACCCAAGTACCATAAGTGAGGTATTTTCAAATAGTAACAAGCAACAAGTAATTCCTTTTCAAAATACGTCCCAGGAGGTATGGTGTTATTCTGATGCAAGAAAAACAACAGAAGGTCGTTTGACACCTCAAAGGCTACACGTTTTATCTGTCACAAGCTTTTGTGGCCTTTAGCCCATGCCATCAGAGACATCTGATCAAGCAGGCTGAAGTTTAGGAAAGCTTAACATAAAACCAGCTAATTTTTAAGATGCTGCAGGAGCCTTTGCTGTTTTCCAAAGTGACATTCCAATCTCTGGACTGTACAAATAACACCGTTGATGGCCAATGATAACGTTGGAGTTGGAAGTCTTGTTCTTTGGGATGTTGCCTTGTAGGCTTCTTTATTATCTCAATTACCAACCTTACAGCACTGTTGTAAAGGTTCCTACAATACCCATTTGATTTTGCAGACTTTCAGGGGTTTGTCATACAAACAATGCACAATAATGATTAGGGCAAGAGGACAGCTAAGTTCTTTCTCCAATGAATATATCCTTTTTTTTACTGGGGAAAAACACAAGAGTGAAACCCGACTGGAATCTCTTATCCTCCCCAAAGATAGGGAGGCTATATCCACCCTGTGAAAAGAAATGTTTTCAGGAAGTACATTTTTTTAAAAAAATCACAGACATACACACACACACATTGTGGACTAGAGCCTTAAATTGTTTTATTAAAAGGTGTAAATTACAACCAAGTTAGTTATTTCAATGCAGGTACAATCTGAAGGGAGGGGGGAATAGAGACCCACTCTTGCTATTATAAAAAGTAAAAAGAGGTAGGGGAGGGTTCTGTTTAACATGTAACACAGCCGGTCCACACAACATAGGGTCAGATTGTGGTGACATCACAGAACTTTTATTGAATACATTTCAGGAGTTCCATATGGCTCATGAGCCGTGTTCTTAGTAATGCGGAGGCAGGCTTTAAAAGATATGACTTGGAAAGAGGGAAGAGGAAAGTCATTTGGAATGAATCTATGCTTTTTTCATTTACAATAGCACTCGTGTTCTAAATGACATTACTGCCTTTTTCTGTCGATTTTTAAAACTGCTGTTAAGAGCGTACATTTAAGAAACTAGAGCAGCTTTCCCCCAACCTGATGCCTCCTGGCATAGACTGGACTACTGTGTGTAGTTTAACCCATCCAGTGGGCATCAAGTTGGAGAAGACTGACTAAAGTAAATAATAATAATAATAAAAAAGAAGGAAGAGAGTGTGTTTGTATGTTTATTTCTTCCTATTGTACAATTAAGCTATAAATAACTTCTTGATAAAATGCCTAAGTCAATGAAACTTGTTAACCGATTACATTCGAGGAAATGGCATTCCCGGCCAGCCCAGCATAGCTTCCCTATTCCACTGTCTTCTCCTGTTTCTTGCCTTCTTTTTTCTTTTTCTTGGGTTCTGTTGACACAAGAAGAATAACAAGACATCAAAACCATGTGAGAAATAGGGCTAGATTTTGAGGGGGTGGGGGGGCCAGGCTCAGCCAAAGCCATACCATCCCCAAGAAGCAAACTGCCCTAACGGTGCTGTCACTTCCATTTCACGTAGAAGATTCCATTTAAGATCTTCCAAGAATCCTCAGTTTGTTCATTCCAAAACTTCTGTACTAAGGAGAAAGACACACAGACAGCCTCAACTCCCCTGAAATCCTGGAGCCACTATTATATTTATTTATTTTATTTATTTATTACATTTATAGCCCACGCATCTAGTCATACAGAATACTCTGGGCGGGTAACAACATACCATATAACAAATTACAGTTTAAAATCATAACAATATATTACTAATATATTTCTAATATTTCACTGAATCCAGTCACTAGTGACTGTATTCAGTGAAATATTAGTAATATATTACTGACTAGTGACTGGATTCAGTGAAAGCATTTAAAAGGTTTTCCCTCCTAAAATATCTGGCAGCTGAAGAACACTTTTAAATACATTTAGCTGATATTGCTAGCACATTCTACTCCAACACACCAGCAATTCATTTCTTTTTAGCACAAGGCAAGTGCAAGACGAAGCGAGCCACCAGTGGCCCTCCAAATGTCAGTAAATATGATTGGCCCATGAAGAAGTAGAACGGCTGTTGGATCAAAGCTGGGATGGGTCAAAAGAGACAATGAATATACTTCTTCTCTATCATATTTAGAAAGCAGATGGAAGTTACTGGAGGCCTTAAAACTCATTCGGCGTTGTGGCCCTTGGTTCATATTTCCCAGCATGCCCCATTCCAAAGGGCATTTTGGTGGGAAATGTTAGCCACTTTAAAAACAGGGCAGTTACCAGGCTGATCGAACTTTTAAGCAACTTTAGTAAGTTGTGTTGCCATATTCCAGTTCTTCAAGTCAAGGTGACCTATTTTCAATGCTATTTCCATATTATATAAATTAGCACATTATGCAAATTACAGTTGTTATACTTGCCCCCCCCCAATCATCAGGATACAGGCGTGACATCACTTATATGTCTTGATTGGGGAGCATTAGTGCAACCATATTTAGCAAAATCAAATTCCTGCCCTGTCATGAAAGTGGTTGGGGGACTTTTGGCCAGTTGCTACCTTATCACATGGCCAAACCTACCTTGCAAGATTGCTGTGGAATTAATGGGGAAAAGGGAAGCATGCAAACTGACCGTGTTTTCTTAGTAGCATAAATAATACATATTACTCTAATTGGATCACTGGAGTTTCTTACCCCCAGTCTTTTTCACTCAGGGAAAAACAATATAGTTCTGTGACAATATCACAGGGAACCCCTACAGGTAACATCCTATCATTTGATCTGCAAGGATACATGCAGACAAAAGTGAAGAAAAAAGTTAGGGATTGCTGAGGAAAAAAACAAACAAATATAATGGTATTCAGAGATAATGGATTAAATATTTGTTTAAAAGAGACAATAATTTACCGTATTTTTCGCACCAGAAGACACACTTTCCCCCCACAAAACAGGGGGGTGGAAAGTCTGTGCGAAAAAGAGACAATAATTTAGTTCAATTTTTTGTCCTATTCAATATGTTAATCAGCTCATCTATGCTGAGATACCTGTGCTACCATTCAACTAACATTTTTAGTGACCACAGTTATGGGAATTATTAATGTTTGTACTTTTTGAATTTCTATCTGTCTATCTGTCTGTCTATCCATCTGTCCGTCCGTCCGTCCGTCCGTCCGTCCGTCCGTCCATCCATCCATCCATCCATCCATCCATCCATCCATCCATCCATCCATCCATCCATCCAACCATCCATCCATCCACCTTGTGTATATAGGCCTCGTTTCTCCTGATAAGGGGACTCAAGGTGTCTCAGTGTTAAAAAATAAAATTCAAAACACAATAAGTTTATACATTAAAATCAAATTATAGCTACAATTAAAATACATTGAATGATTAAAAATGAAGAACTTTTGAACTCAACTGAAAATGACATTAAGGGACTCAGTTATGATGTCAAAAACCTGTCTGAAGGATAAAAAGGAAGGAGCCAACCTGACCTTCCTAGGAAGAGCTTTCCATGACCTGAGAGCTGCCACCAAGAAGGCCCTCTCCTGTGTCTCCATCAAATCCCCATGCTGGCAACGAGATCAAGACAAGGGCCTCCTCTGATGATCTTAAGAGCTGTAAAGGCTCATATGGATGACCTTTGGCTATAGAATTTAAAACACAATAAATTTATACATTAAAATCAAATTATAGCTGCAATTAACATACATTGAATGATTAAAAATGAAGAACTTTTGAACTCAACTGAAAATGACATTAAGGGACTCAGTTATGATGTCAAAAACCTGTCTGAAGGATAAAAAGGAAGGAGCCAACCTGACCTTCCTAGGAAGAGCTTTCCATGACCTGAGAGCTGCCACCAAGAAGGCCCTCTCCTGTGTCTCCATCAAATCCCCATGCTGGCAACGAGATCAAGACAAGGGCCTCCTCTGATGATCTTAAGAGCTGTAAAGGCTCATATGGATGACCTTTGGCTAGTTCCCTCTCATTCTGTTGGTTACACTGTTCTACCATCATGGACCTTCAGCTAACCTCTAGAAATCACTATCCTGATGTTGCTTCTTATCTGTTCAACTGTCCTTTCCAGGAAAACGAGTCAGTAGTGCTCAGGGCTGGTCTATAATGGTTTGCTACCTGAACCAGGCAAAATGGTACCCCTCCGCATTCCATGTAGAGAAACCAAATGGACTAGTTGTTGAATTTTACTTTAATAATTGTGGAATGGAATAGTCTCAACCAGGACATAATGCTCCCAAGGGAACTAGACAATTTTGGGGCAGGTGGAGGGGGACAGGACACACTGAGTCACATACACAACAGATGAAGAAGAACAGCTTGGAAATTCTAGTGGAACAGACAAAAGGTTACCCTTGCTTTCAGTCTCCCTACCCCCAATATCACCTGAGTTGATTTCCCATTCTGCCTAATGGTAGGACCAGTTCTCAGAGTGATAGAAGTAGATCTTGGAGATTTTTCGGGTGGAGGAATACCCACGCTGAAATCTCCTACCAGCCCAGTTGCTGGAATTGGGCTTTGTAGTCAGAAAAGTAACTTTCCCAAGCTCTACTAACAGATATGTTAGCTTCATTGGTGAGTCTTTCTCCTTCTGTTTCATGCCCCATCCAATTACCAGAGAGCATACAAGAACAGAAGATTGCACTGGCATTATCTGAAGGTTCGTTTGGGGCAATTAAGGGCCATCCTGGACATCATACTATTAGAACAAAGCTGGTTTTAAAAACCTGTTTTCCCTCTTTGTTGTTGTTGTTTTGTCGTTTTGTCATGTCCGACTCTTCGTGATCCCATGGACCAGAGCACGCCAGGCCCTCCTGTCTTCCACTGCCTCCTGGAACTGGGTCAAATTCATGTTGGTTGCTTCAATGACACTGTCCAACCATCTTGTTGTCTGTCGTCCCCTTCTCCACCTGCCTTCACATTTTCCTAACATCAGCATCTTTTCCAGGGAGTCCTCTCTGTTACATACAGCACTGATGTTACCTGTCTGTCATGGGTTTGGAGGGAAAGTTCCATCCTATGGGGAGTGGAAGGCGGGACATCAGGGGGAGGAGCTGTACTGTATATATAGTTAGAGCTGGTGTGGAGAAGCAGGAGTGGGAGTCTGTGTGTCAGACTGAGTACAACTGTGTGTCAGTTGGTACATACCTGATAGGTTCAGGTTTCTTTATAGGTAGCCAGAACTGATAGGTTCAGGGTCTGTGCTTTACTTTATAGTGTTCTGTGTGAACCAAACTGTTGGATGTATGATTGAGACTAAGCCACGTTACAGTATCTTATTTACTTGATCTTTTTATTTACCCTGTTTGTTATTTAAATAAACCTTGTTCTTTTGTTTGTTAAAAATCCATTCCTGGTCTGTGTGACTTCTTATAGGGAATGGTTGGTGGCAGCATA